TTTTCTTTTAATTGATTAAATTCTCAAAATAATCGGTTAAAATCACTTATAGAGAATTTTTGAAAAATTATTCATACTGTTTTAATCGATTATTCCTCGAATTAATCAATTAAAATTTCTCGGGTTTCAAGTTTACATTTCTCATCTCTATTTTAATCGATTAAATATGATTTACATCAGTTAAATTCATTAATTGGTACAAAATTAATTGATCCTTTCTCGTTTTAATCTATTAATATTCTGTCATTATATTTTTAACCCATATCCAGATCAAATTAATTGATTAATTGGTAAAATATTTGATTAGTTTGTTCTTGGAAATTGTTTCAGAGTCTATTAATTGCAGGATTTTGGAAATTAAATAGTCTATCAAGGATTAAAGATCAAGATTCGTTATCTGCTAAATCTACAAACAATATTAAAAGCATTGTTGACCAGTTAATCCTTATCCTTCTAAAAGAACAAATTAACTGATACATTTTGCAAATGCACTGTCCAATTCCAGTATAGTTGTAGCTGGTCAAGGGGACATCTCAATTGCAAAAAGCTGGAAACACAACAAGGTTTCATTGACTGTCTCACGGACTCCAGAATTCATCTTTGAATATGGGAGCAAGTAGTTGGTTTTCAAGATGAAGGAGTCAAGGTGTCCAAGGGGAATATCTATGAGCTGCAAGATTTAAACAAGATCCAATTCTTTAGATCTTGTCTCAAAGACTGCATATGACTCCGTCAGAATTTTGAATGCAGAGCCTGCTAGCCTTCATTATAGCATGGGTGCTTACACCCAAGGGGAGCAATCATGTTTTACTAAATGAAGGAGACCTGTCCCTTATGTACTGCATCTGAAACAACATTCGAGTTGATTGGGTTTATGTGATTAAAGATCACATGATAAAAGCAAAAAGGTTGAGTGACTTTCGCTTACCCTATGCCATGCTGATTAACAAATTCTTTAAATATTTTGCATTTAACTTGTTAAGAGAATATGTAGAGGCCCCAAAAGCATCAAATGAGATTGATGATTCTACCCTCTGAAAGATGCGTTTCATCTTTTTATCACAACTCTTTTTAAGAAGCTTTAGAAAATGTTCTGTCAGTATTTTAATCAATTAAACTTTGAATTAATCAATTAAAATCACTTAAGGATTTTTGAGTAACTGTTTTAATTGATTAAACTACATTTTTATCAGTAAAAATATTTCTGGAAAGTGTTGTAGAACATTTTAATCGATTAAATGATATTTTCATTAGTTAAAATAGTTAGAATCAAGATTTTTTTAATCGATTAAAAGATGAATTAACCGATTAATTAAACTAGTTTTTTAGAAAAATCTATATATAAATATATTTGTTTCAAAGTTTTAAAAACACATCTTTAGAAATCATTCAAGCAATCAATAGAGATCTTTTCAAGAGAGAAGCGTGTTATTTTCAGTGGGAATTTTTGAAGTTCTTTCTTGAGGCATTTTTGTATTCTTGCTTGTGAAGAAACTCATTCTGTAGTTGGATTTATGCATCTATAAAATCAGGTTTGATTGTTCTAGTTTCTTCATTCTTTCAATTCTATTTTGTATTGTCTTGGTGTCTGGAAGATTGGGCACTGGTTCTGTAATTGGAATTTGGTTGCAGATTGGGTTTTCTGTAATTTGATTATGTTAATCAAACTATTCAATTTGGTGGAACTCAACTAGAATTTGGTTGAGAAATGGATGTAGCTTAGTGGTTTGGGTGAACCAGTATAATTCTTAGTGTTTCTTTTACTCTTCCATCACTTTCTTTAATTCAGCTTGAACCTTATTCAATTCTGTTTTGTTTTCTTGGTTTAATACTTGATCAGATTTCTTAATCTTTGAAATTGTTAATTTGTATCTGTAAGTTGCGAAAAAATTTGTAAAGATCAATTCATCCCCCCTCTTGATCTAAGCCTATAATTCTAATAGCCACCACATGCACAATGAACTAAAACACAGAAGCCACCATAGGTGCAATGAAATAAAACAAAAAATTCATTGCAAACATAGTGAATCGAAATGTAGTAGTCATGCATACACAATGAACTGAAATGTAGAAGTCACCGTATGCACAATGAACTAAAACGCAAAAGAGTGAACTAAAACACAAAAGTCATCGTAGGTTTCTTTAAGTAATATTCCTAATCTAAATATGTTATAAGATTTGTTATGCATTGATACTCATTATCGTAATGAGTTCAAAATATTTAGTTTCTAAAAAAATTCATAATGTAGTGCACAATCTAAGTCAATTCTCTCAAGAATACATATTAATTGTATTTACATTCCTTATATTCATTCTCTAGATTCTCATTTTTCCAAATTCTTCCTACACAAGTTAATTGGGGTTTGGGATTTCAAACGCAAAATAATTAAAATTTAAACACAAAACAAAATTAAATTCAAGAATTGAAAAAGGTCATAATTGAATTAAACTGAAAAGTGTAAGAACACAAGAATTAAAAACATAATTGAAATATAAAAACAAAGAATAAAAACTGAATTAAAGTGTGAAAATAAAAAATTATAAATGCAAGAAATTAAATTGTTTGAAGAAACAAAATTAAAACATCAATCTACAAATTTAGAACATATGTATTGAAATATCATTGTGTTTAATAAAACATGAATCCGAATTTGAACAATTTGTACAAATTAAATCAAAAAATCGTTTAACCTAATTTGAAATTGATTATCAAATCAAACATCAATGAAAACATAATTTGAATTCTAAAACATAGCAAAACAAATCATAATAATGGCATGCAATCCTATGAATTGGAGGAAGGATGAACAAACTTGGAGCATGTGGATCAATAAAACTCAATTTCATAATTCACCTAATCTCTAATTTGTATATTGAAAGAAACTATTTAGCCCTTCATGGAAGCACTATCCATTCACACAATTACAAGAAGATAAAAAAGACAAATAGAAAAATAAAAAAGAAAAGAAAAGATAAAAGAGGGAATCCAAATAGGTAAACACAAAAAATTAATTACAAATATAAATTTGGTAAAATTTAATTCCCTGTGTTCTTTTTTTTCATTCCTAAAGTGTTTATAAAACACTTTAAAAGATGAAAACAAATGGGATTAGAATTTAGCCAAAATGGTCCTTACAAGGTAAATAATAAAATACAATTTTGTATACAACACTTTAGTACGTTTGTCTCAATTTCTAAAATTTATTAAAAATAACTCTAGACTCTGAATTCCACATTCCATATATGAAAATTGAATCTCTAGAAATAATGAATTCAATGAAACAAGAATTAGCAAAGAAGCATATTTATAGAGAAATTATGGTGAAAAGACAAAGATTACGTCAACAAAAAATATGGAATTAAAGTATTTATTCAAAATAGACCTAATTTATTACTAATGACATATTTTTTATCATATTTAATCGAATACGTATGTAATACATATACATTGGTCCAACCACATATTTGTGCATTAGAGATATAGATATAGATATTTATACTATGGTATAAAGAGATGAGTTTGGACACATTTAATTACTTTTAACAATTCTTCTCAAAGTTAGTACATACAAATCATATGCATCAAAACATATTATAAATATAATCAATTGTAGGACCCCACAATAATTATTTGAAGACATATGTCAATTGTTCATTGGAATTAACAAATTGAGTGGTAATGTCGCTAGATATAATCTTCACTCAGATGAATTGATAATCTATCTGAATATGTACAGTCATTTTGTGAAATACTGAAATTGAGACAATATGTAAGGTAGTTTATTTGTCACAAATGAGAGTTATTTGTATGACTTCCCCAAATTTTAATTCTTTAAGCAATATTTTATAAATTAAGTTTAGAGATTAAAAATTTATTTTCAATTAAAATAAAAAATACTCACTAAATTTTAAACTTCGTTTATTTACAATTAAATAAATAGAAAGAAAGTGTATCTTGTCCGGGAATTAAGAAATATATTATTTTCTCGTATAATTGTAAACATTTTTACTTTTTATTCTTATATAAACGAAAAGAGTGAAATATTTAACAAAAATATTATTTTATGAAGTATTTTCACTTATTATTCATTTTTATGTTTACAATTTTAATATATATATATATATATATATATTAATTATAATGTGATATTATTTATTAATTTAAACTTGAAATTATAGAAAAAAAAAGATAATTTTAAAATAAAATTATTTTATAATTGTTATAAAATAAGATCCAAGACATATAAAAAGTGGAAAGGAAGAATATATATGCAAATCCCTTACATTTCACCAAACTAGATACCTTTACTTATAGGTACAAAATACAATGCAAATGTCAACTTAAGGATTACAAAATTTAAATTATATAAATCATAATAAAGACTAATAAAGTTAATGGATAATTAATAATGATTCATAACACTCCCCTTTGAATGCCCAATGATTGAAGATTGTGCCTTATTAAAACCTTAGGAAAAATCCTATGGGAAAAAAACCTAATGAATTAAAAACAAGTATATCATTCTTCAATCAAACTTAATCATTTTCCCCCTCATGTAAATCATCATCGTTGAGATAACAAAGTCCAATATTATGAATCAAATTGTTCAAATACTCTCCTTGGTAAAGATTTTGAAAATACATATGTTAAATTTTCACATGAATAAATCTTCTAAATTTATATATCTTCATTCCTTCGAAAGGTCACAAGTAAAAAACAAATTTGAAAGTATATGTTATGTCATCTTTGATATGGTTTTCTTTCCATCCAGAATACTATATGTCTTCATATATGATCGTTGATGTCAATTTTTATTAGGAAATACAAGTATGATTCTAAGTCCCACATTGGGTAAGAATGAGAAAGTTGAGCAACATATAAGGAAGTACAACCCATAACCTAATGTCTTAAGGTTTTGAATTAAGAATTGTGTCAATCCCTTATGTGGGGACTTATGTTTCATTGGTTATGTTTCTCCCCTATGAATCCCCATCGAAAGACCCAACAAGTGGTATCAGAACTGAAGGTTGATCGGCAGTGGGTTAGAGTGGCATTTGTATCAAAAGTCTTCCTGATAACCTGGATCAGGTAAGCGTGTACATAAAAGGACCACTAGTGAATTTATTTAAATCTTAAATTTATAATGCAAACAAAATTTTATCATTTAAATATTCTTTATCTCAAACTCTTTCTATAAAAGAATGAATTACTTTGTAAGTTGTTTAAGGAGTTTTAAAACAAGTATAATAAATTCATTTTTAATATAAATGACAAAATTGTGAACATTTTTTATTTCATTCTTTTAAAACAAAATATTTAGAAGATTATACCATATGTATCTTGATTTCTTAAATCCATAAATGAACTTATTCAACTTAATTAAATAATCATCTCTAGAACTTAACAACATCTATTATATGCAAATTGAATCATTTATGTGCAAATAACATAAGATTCAAGTTATATATGACCATAAGTATTACATAAAAATAAAATTAGAATAATAAATTAATAAGAATCATATTATATATTATAAAAAGATATAATAGATGATATAAAAAAATAGATAAACGGTTAATGGTTCAATATGTTTGAATATTTGTGTTGAAAATGTGTTATAAAATAAGATTCCAAGACATATAAAAAGAAAAGAAAAACCTAATAATCAAATTCTTTATATTTTATCAAATGATAGTCGGAATAGAAGACACTCATTTTAGGATAAGGTTTACTATTTAGATCATTTAATCAGGTAAAGAAAAAGGTAATTTTGTAATTAATAAAGATTTAATTTTGATTTATTTATTTATTATTTTTAAATAAATATCTTTTTTATTATTATATTTTTCAAACAAATAAATATGTTTTTTTCCTTGTATTTTCTTTCTTAGTACCGAAATCGCCACGAGTCTCAATATTTTGTTCATCATTAATTCATTGTAGCTATTGCAGCGTGAAAAAGTTTATTAAATACAAATTTGTCGTTTCATTGTTATATTTAAGTTTTACGTCATTTTTAAAAAAAATATCTGGGCTCGTCTAAAAGTAACATAAATAATTTCGTTTATACTGTGTATTGTATATAATAAGATAGTTCGTTTTGAATGTAAAAAAATATATATAAAAATAAAGTGAAATATTTATATAATTACAAAGTTATTTATATATTTATTAATTATTTGTTATAAATAAAATAACTTCTTAAATTAAGGTCTATTTTTTAATATTATAACTTTAATATATATTTATAAAAAAGTGTATAATAAAATTATATTTTTTTAATATTTAAGTTTAAACTAATAAAATAATACGTGAAAATAAATAATTATTCTAAAGAACGATAACTTTACAAAATAATTTTGTTTTTTTATTTTTATATATACATGAAAAGTAAAATATGTGAATAAGAAAGGAAAGATATTTTTTTCACCATTTTTCTTAGTTTAAAAATACTTTATTTCTTATATTTTCTTATTGCACTAATCAATTTAAATAATTAAAATTTTAATATAAAATAATGACAATAAAAAATTTGAATTCAATAATATTAGTAGAATGATAAAACAGGTTAAACATAGTGTATTAACCTACTGGTCCACCTCAAAAGTGGTAGGGTAGATTGATTATCTATCTATTTTGGTCCATCTCGTCTAATCTATCAACTCAAAAAGTTAGGAGTGAGGTGGGATGACCTAATTTAAAAGAATATTTATATATTAAAAGCATTATTGTTATTGATAAAACTACAAATGTATCGAAAGAAGTAAATCGAGGGATGTAGAGGTGTTAAAGGACTATATTGATAAATGGGGATATCGAGAGTCAAAAATCAATATTAGCCAAAAGGAATTGAAAGCAAAAGGTAAATTTAATTTAACAAGATGGGTAGCTCGAAGGAGTATGTTATTGAAAAGAGGGTTGAGAAATATATTAAGAAATAAAATAACATAATGTGGTCAGTCCAGCATAGAAAGTTGAAGAGTTGAAGACATCGAGGTTAATAGTGCAAATCGACAAAGATAGGATATTGAGAGAAAGTTATGCAATCGAGAGATATAGGAAGATAGTTATTATCTCATTATAACATATGCAAACTAATAGGTGGTACGTGGTTACAATGTGGGTCGAAGAAAGGGAGGGCAGTTATAATAAAGTAATCGTTCGTGGATTTTTTATTTGACTTTACTATACTTTTATTTTAATTTATTCTTGGTAGTTTCATTTTAGTGGCTACACATCAGAAAAATATAAATAGGGTGAAATAAATAGGGGCGATTTTCAAATTATACAAATAAACTTGCATTCTGAAAAATGCTACGAACAAGGGATAAACATTTTCAATAGAGTTTTATGCAATATGGATTGTCATCTTAGTTGAATTTCTCTACCAATTTTTGTTTTATCCTTGGTAATGAGTAATATTTAATTTATTGTCATTTACTTACTTTGCACATTTTACTTTTATGCAATTTCTTGTGGTACCTTTTTTATTCTCGCATTTTATTTTAAATATTTCAAATCGTATTGGAAATCAAAATTTTGTGTGTGACCAATATTTAGTTGAGATATATTGTGTTCTAATCATCAAGCGATTGATATGAAACGAATCCACATGGTGTTTAAATGATTCATCGCGTACTTTAGGAATAAATTTGTTTAATCAAATAGCGAGTCATTTACACTAGAAACAAATTGGCACGCCAAGTGGGATTCTTGAAGTTTGAGAAGCTAATAGTGCATGAGATTAAGAAGTGGTAAAATAATTATGGCAAGTAAAAGCTAGGGATGACAAAACGGGTCAGACCTGGCGGGACGGGTTGGTGTTTTCAACCCGCCAACCTGCTTTGGCCCGCCCGACCAAGCCCGCCGAGCCAACCCGCCTATTTAATAAAAGAATAAATTTTTATTATAATAAAGTTAATTATAAAATAATATATAAAGTTAAACATTTTAAAAAGAGAATTAAAAAAGTTTCACTCTCACGAGAAAATATTCTCCTTATCGAAACACAACATTCTCTCTCGTTCTCCTTGTTCATCCTAAACACCGATTATTTTTATCCTTATGACTTGAATTAAAGGTGTAAGAATTACTCAAGCGAGAATAATGTGAAGTTTTATCAAATAAAAAAGATATAGGTATTTGAATTTTTCAATATAAAAAATATAAATTTTATAAGTTTTAACGTTATATATATATATATATATATATATATATATATATATATATATATTTGTTATTATTTATTATTATGTAAATTTTATTATTGTTCTAAATTATAATTTTTTAAAACAATGTGTTGATTTATATTATTAAATTAAAATAATATATATATATATATTAAATTATTGACAAACAAATAATAATCTTATTATTAAATTTATTTCAAATTTTGATTTAAAAAAATAAATTATTTTTTTCTAAATTGTGGCGAAGCCAGTCCACTAACTCGCCCCTTGGCGGGATCGGGCCAAGGTCTACAGTCTGTCATGACTATAGCGGGTCAACCCGCCCCGCCTTGCTTTTGGCAGGCCAAAGGCGAAGCAGGTCAAAACGGAGCGGGCTGGCCCGTTTTGCCATCCCTAGTAAAAACACACAAAATTTTGTACCAAACAACTACAAGAGAGTCAGAATACAAGTAATATGAGTGAAAATGTTCAGGGTGTTATTGTTTATCTGAATAATATTGGTAGTCAAAGAAATCAAGGAACATCAATAATACAATCAGTGAATAGTCCAAAAGGTAGCACTTATGTAGGACCACATGTAACAATAAGTAGACCTGGTGCATTGGGAGAGCATGTAAGTGGGAGTACATAAGCCCAAAAAAAAATAACTAGGGAGTACCAATACCGAAAGTTATCAATGGGAAATGTCATTGTGGCAACCAACCCTAAATTTTTGTTGGATGAATGATCAAAGTCAAAGCCAAATTAGATTGGGAAATAATAGGGGGAATAATAGAAATCAAGGTGACTTTGATAATATAAAGACAGGAATATCAAGTAGTATGTTAGGGGTAATAAGACAACAAATGGATGATAGTAATCGTGAAATGGTTAATCTGTTGTCTCAACAATTGACCACTATCTTAAATCCTCTAGTATAGACGACCATCGATAGTGTTCAAAGATTAGCTAAACAAATTGCAAGGATAGAAGATGCACTTGTTATTCCGATAAGGAATAATTTAGCGAATGATAATGTGCAAATAGGAAATAATCAGGGTGAACCTCTTATAGAGCAAAACAATAATAATTGAAATATGCAAGAAAATCATAACCAATTGAGAGATTTTAGAATAGTCAATAGAGGTCAAGATGCGACCAAATCTTGCACATTTGGGATACTATATGAAGGAATAACCAGAATAATGTGAATTATCAACAAAATGCTTATAACCAAATGATTAGACAATGGAATCAACCAGATGTGGGAATGGGATTATATAACCAGTCGTATTTTATTTCACCTTTTTTGGATTTTGTGCTTGAGGCTGAATTGCCAAGAGGACAAAAGATACCGAAGTTTACAAAATTCACGGGTGATATTGGGGAATCTATTATTGAACATATAACTAGGTATCAAATTGAATGTGCGAACCTATTAACAAAAGAAAGTTTGGTAATGAAGTATTTTCTGAGTTCTTTAACAAATAATGCTTTTACTTGATTTACAACATTACATCCTAATTTGATATTTAATTGGGCACATTTAGAAAGAAGTTTTCATGAACAATTCTTTAGAGGAGAAACACAAGTTAGCTTAATAGATTTGATGAATGTAAAAGGTTTCATAAGGAAAATATAGATGATTATTTGAATAGGTTTAGACAAATGTGATCAATATGTTTTACACAAATTTTGGATAGTGAAGTGGCAAGAATGGCAACGCAAGGTTAAAATTCTCGATAAGAAAGAAATTAGTTGATGTACCATTAAGAGATATGGCTCAAATGGCTGATAAAGTTCGAAGGATTGAACAAATTAAATATGAGCAGGAAAGATATCATAAATTTAGTAAGGTAATAAAGAAAGATAAAATTAGATATGTTGGAGTTGATGTGTATAACAATGAGATGCGTGATATAATAAGAGAGAATGAAGAGGAGGTGTTGAGTGAAAATGATGAAATAAATGTCGTTAAAATCAAAGTCGATCCACCTTATGTGTGTAAGTTATTACAAAAGAGTGAAATTCCTGGTAAGATGACAAATCTAACTTATAGTTTTGATGTGTCTAAAGTAGATAAATTTTTTGATATTTTTTTGAAAGATAAGTAGATAAAATTAAGTGATGACCATAAATTGTCAACTTTAGAGCAGAGAAAAGGATGAAAATATTATAATTTCATAATATATATGGTCATTGGACTAATAATTATATTAATTTCAAAAATATCATACAAGATGCTATTAAACAGGGTCAATTAAAGTTCAAAGAGAAACCAATGAAGGTGGATATTGATCCCTTCAAGACTCATGTGGGTTATACGGAAGTTAAACTTAACATTACTGATAGTGTTAAGAATTTTGTGGATGATATAGGGATTTATATGGTAGACATTACTTTGGAGGATGTAAATTTGTGCCATGTTAAAATCAATGATGGCGAAGAAGATTTTGAGTTAGAGCCGGAAGACTTTGAAATAGACAATGAAATTAATCCAAAGGTAGATGACACTCTAGTAGAATTTCTGAATCAAAAAAGTATAAAGATGAAGAGGTTTCCTTGTGTCCAAGGTGTCATGATGTATTCCACAAAGTTGCTACTAAGAAATTCAAATTAAGCAAGAAGACAAAAGATAGTGAGAAATAAAAACAAAATGTTGAATGTCAAGATCGAGACTTACAAATCATAATGAAAGATGACCCCAAACAATATGGGGATTTCTTACCACACACAAAGATAAGTCAAGATGAGTAGATTAAAGGAAGAATGTTTAATCATTGAGGTATGTATGGCCCAAGAAATAAAAATGTTTTCGATAGATTATCATATAGCCCTGATTTTTATACTAGTTTTCCTAAGTTCTCAAAGGGATTTCGTCAAGGAAGTCCTTAGATGAGGTGAAATATGTCACAACCTTTCTAGAAAAGGTATCAAAGATTGGACCTATGGATAGAGTTGGACTGAGTCAAGGTGGTCAAGTGTATACTAGCACTTTGATCAATCAAGGAGAGGGTTTTAGCGTGAATCTTAAACAAGGGAATGTGAACGTAGGGGTGATCTCAATTTTAACAAAATATGCAAATTTATATGAAGAAGACCAAATAAGGCAAGATTCAAATTGAGAAGACTACTATGAGATGACTTTACAACCTAAAGCAGTGTGGGTCACTTAAGTCTCATGTGAATCACCTCAACAAGACGCAGCTCTTATCAATCCACCAAGTGAAGAGATGAGGTTTCATTTAAAGTCTTTAATACTGAAGAAAGAAATCAATGGTGTTATAGTGAATAAAGTACTTGTTGATGGAGGTGTAGCGATGAACATATTACCAAAATCCATATTAAAGAGATTTGGTAAGAAAGAGGAAGATTTAATAAGAAAAAATATAATGATATCAGATTTTAGTGGGAATTCATCGAGTTCAGAGGGAATGATTGCTCTTGATGTCATAGTGGAGACTTATATGAGGACCACAATGTTTGTTGTGGTAAAGTCTCATCCAAATTTTAATGTTTTACTAGGAAGAGAATGGATATATGGTGTGGGGCAATTCCATCAACTGTCCATCAAAAGTTATATGTGTGGAATTGCGATGATCATTTGGAAGTTATTCAAGGTGATCAAACCGATTTTTTAGCTTGTGATTCCCATGCATATCAACCTTTAAAGAACTTAGCATTGACTAAGCCTTTTACCTTTGAGACCCCTAAATACTTCAACTCAAAGGTGCATAAGACCTCATTTGTTGAAATGAATCCCGAAAAGGGATTTCTGCCTAAAGAGGAGGTCAACCTCGAAGAGATCGGAAGTAATGACTGAGCCCTATTATGAACATTTCTTGACTTGATTGCAAAGCTATTTGAAGGAGATTCAAGAAATCATAAGTCGGAGTTGGATCAAGTCGAATAAGTCAATATCATCGACAATAGTTTGCAATAAAGATCCATTGAGCAGTGATGTTAAGTTGGATTGTATTTATGATTTT